GGGCAGAAACGTCGGCCGGAATAAGGGCCTGAGCGTACCATACTGAGCCTGTCTCAGAAGGCGTCTGTGGCAGGTTCACTCCGATGCAAGGCGAAGGAGTGGAGGCTGGTCGCTGTCACCGTCCCAGTTCAAGGGACAGGACAAGGTTCCGGACCGTTAGACGGATGGCTGAAGGAGCTGGATGAGCTCCACATCCCGGCAGAGAGTGCGCAGGCTGAAGGCGGTGGCCAACATGGTCCACTCGGCCGCAACGTTGGTGAGGCCGCGCAGCAGAAACCTCCGTGCCCCGATTGCTCCTTGATGATTCCGAAGACCGGCTCGACCAGTTGCTTTCTCAGCTTGTACGCTTCTCTGGCTGCTGAGGTGGCCATCCCCGCGCGGTGACGGCACCTGGGCCAGCGCCTTTCTCGGGACTCTCTACACATCGACCTGCGAAGAGGGCTTCCGGAGCGCTGACTAGTGGCTGGGGATCACCCCTGGCCGGACCGCCCGCAGTCGTTCTCAGACCCGGAAACCGCCTGAAAGTGCGGTAGCGTGGGAAACAACCGCGCAGAGCAGTTCCGAAGGCCCTGGTTCGTGGTCGAGTGGTACGCTGATGTGTGACAGGGCGTATCCCAGTGCGCACCTCGATGGTCGAAAATGACATCGGATCCCGTCAGGCCGGCCGGGCTGATCACTGATTGGGAAAGACTTTCTATATGGCTGTACAGGGTAGGGAAATGGTGCCTATCTCAGCCCGCGCTGTCGGCAAACACCCAGAGCCGATTTCGCCATCGCGCCGTAGGTTCGCCCTATTTAAGTTATGTTATTGCTTCCCCTCGCAATACGACGAGACAAGGCAACCCGTTAGAGCGCAGTGTAGCCCCCGTCGACAAGCAGTGGCGCCCCGGTCACGAATGATGACTCGTTGGAGGCTAGGAATAGCGCAGCGTAAGCAACCTCTTCTGGCTCTGCGAATCTGCCCAGTGGGTATCGTTCCTCCAGACGTTCCCGGATTTGTGGGTTTGTCGTAATCGAACGGATTAGGCTGGTATTGACGTGACCGGGACAGATGCAGTTGACCCGAATGTTATCTCTGCCGAACTGGATGGCAAGGTTCTTCGTCAGTTGGACAACACCACCCTTGGAAGGAACATAAGGGTCGAACCCGCTGCCCAGTCCAATCGGAGCTCCGACTACACCGTTGATCGAAGAGATATTGACTATCGAGCCGCCGCCGCTCTCCCTCATCTGTTGTATTGCCAGCCAGCAGATGAGATAAGTACCGCGCAGGTTGATCTCAAGCACCCGTCGTACACTGCTATAACGCGCTCGTAGCGGTCCTCGAAGGTCGCGTCTGAAGGAACCGCGAAGTCGGAGATTATCCCAGCACTGTTGAGCGCGACGTCAATTCGGCCGTAACTCTCGATCGTGGCTTCAACCATGCGTTTGGCGTCGCTGGAGTCCGAGACATCACCTGCGACAGTGCTCGAACACCCCCGTCCGACCGGATTTGTTGAACGGTATCGTCCGCCCCAGTCGCATTTAGATCGGACACAACCACCTTTGCGCCTTCCCGCGCGAACAAGAGCGCCGTTGCTCGCCCGATTCCAGATGCTCCACCCGTTACAAGCGCCACTTTGTTCTCTAGCCTCATGGGCTGGACCTCCACTTCTGTTCCTGTGTCTTCAAACCACGACTATGTGATGAGCTGCCCCCGTCTAACGCCACTACCTTGCCGGCGGCGTGATCCGAAATCTGTCACCAGTTGTATGGGCACCACGGCTGTAGAGGGTGGGAAAACATCAGGTCAGCACGCTCAACAGCGCCTAGTGAATACTCCTCGACGAGCCCCGCCCGTGCAAGCTCTGAGAATCGCACTGTCCCGAGGTAGGTGGATCCCATCTCGGTAACTGACATACCAATGTCCGGTGTTTCCGCTGTAGGAGTGCATCGGGCTCCGCCTGGGCCTGCCTCCAACTTAATTCTCCCATCGTTCCATGGGCAGAAGGGATCGGTGAACTCGAACACTAGCTGGCCGTCCATCCGGTACTTTCGGCCTGCGAGCGCAGCGTTCACGTCCACCAGCCGGAGCCAGAAGCTGTCCTGAATAGTCCGCTGGAGCCTGCGCGGGTCAGTCAGCATATGCGGCAAAGGGTCATCAACTGGCCTCTTTCTGGCTATTGTCCTCGTCCTTAGGTCCACACTAAAGCAGAATCTCCACAGTGAAGAGTAGGCTTCTTCTGTCACCGCCATAAGCTCATGAACCGTTACTGTGTCACCCATGTTCCTGTAGATGGCGTATCCATCGATCCTGTTGTGGCTGTGGTAGGCCACGCAAAAGTACCTGCTGGCAGACCCTCGCGACTGTGGTGGATCGACAACGATGCGAGCCCACTCAGCAGAGGAGCGCGCTACTACCCCTGGCCTTCCCACAGTTGCCCGTGCGTAAACCTCCGGGAAAATGTCCCCGACCTCTTCAGTCGGAACGAATGCCACATGGCCCGTCGGTTCGGCTGAATCGGAAAAGTTGGTGTGCTGCCGGTCTATGGTCCAGTCCTCTCGAAAGCTCCCTACGCTGTAGCCGTACCTGCCGTATATTACGGTCTCCGAAGTGTTGAGTCCCGAGAGCGGCTCGCCTCGCTCGTGAAAGTCCGCGAGCTGCATCCGCATCATTGAAGTCAGAATACCGCGCCGGCGATGTGTTGGCTGAACGCAGACGTGGCTGACCGCCCCTATGGGAAGACTTCCACCGGGTACGGCCATCTCGAATGTATAAGAATGGGTGGTGCCAACTATCTCCTGCCCCTCGAACACGGCCACACTCCGGTCAAGCTCGACCCACGGAGCGCTGCCAGTGGCAGGGTGGTGCAGAGTTAGATTCAGGTCATCATGATCTCCAAAGCCCCGTTCCATCGCCCCTATCCACTCTTCGAACTCGTCGACCCCGATCGCGCGCATCTCGTAGGCCATCGACCTATCTCCTCCGCATGGACAGTTAGACCCATGCTTTGTTCTTCATGGAGCCGGTTCAACGATGTCAAGAATCTGATCGACATCAATGTCGGTGATCTCCTGCCTAACTCCACTTGGCCACAGTATCGAGATCTGACTCACGTGTTCCGACTCGCCAAGACCAAACTCGAGGTCGATACTGTCCATCGACAGGTAGCTTGAACCAGCACGCACCTCCTGTACCTGTACCAGGGGAGCGTTGGAACCTGGGGCGAAGTACTCAAGGTACACTCGAGCTCCAACAGCATCGGCGTTGCTGCCCGTCTGGTCAATTCCCATTCGACCTCGTAGGCGCAGCGTGATCCAGTGTTTGTTCCCACCACCATTGAGCCAGACGAACACGTTCCCTTCCGCTGGTCGTGCCGACACTCCCGGCTCAACCCAGACGGGGCCGCTGCTGTTGGTGCCGATCAGGTCGACGTAGCCGTCTCCGTTGATGTCGCCGTGGGCTAGACCCTTACCGTTTTCATGCATACTGGGACTTATCCTTTGGCGTACTGCATCGAACTCCGGGAAATCCGGGTCCAAGATGGAGTAGTCTACCCCAACGATGTCCAGAAGGCGCGCCCTCACAGTAATGTCCTCGAATCCTCCCGCTCCGTCCCCGCGCAACATCCGTCCAGCGGACTCGATGATCTCCCCGCCCGGGCCCTCGCCGCGGTTGACCTCTGAGCCGAGCCAGTAGAGGTCCTGGTGCCCGTCGTTGTCGAAGTCGAAGAAGGTCGTACCGTATCCAAACTCATATGCTCCCAATCCAGTGGGTACTGTCCATCCGGGATGGATGTTGACTTGATCGAGGGCCAAAGGCGGCATAATTGGGCTGGGGACAACGGAGACAGCAAGCGCCACATCTGTGAAGACACCGAGGGTGCCGTCGTCGGGCGTCTGAGTGGTTCCGTCGTTCCTAAGCAGGTAGTGCATACAGGTTCCCCAGTCGAACCGGTCCGTGTTATCGGCAGTCGCCGCCGATCTGCTCCTTGGGAGGATGAAGGCGCATGTTGGAGCCCTGGTTCGTTATGAAAACGTCGAGGTCTTGATCCCCGTCGTAGTCGCCGACTGCAAAGCCCATCCAATTGCCGAAAGCGTTTATGCCCATTTCGTCGGAGACTGGTGTGAAATACACGGCGCCTTCCGGCGAGTCGTTCCTGTATAGGTGCATCCTGTCGCCATCGTCAGCCACCCACAGGTCCTGATCGCCGTCGTTGTCGTAGTCGAAGAACAGGACAGCAAGCGTCCTGCCTGTGGGGTCGCCGATTCGATTTCCGAGACGGTCCTTCCTTGAGGGATCGTAGCCCTGGAACTCGGCGCCTGTGTCACGGTCCTTGAACAGGACGGGATTTCCCTCCGGGTCAAGCAGCCTTACCTGCCTTCCTCTTACCCCCGCCTCTTCAGCTATCTCTCGGAACGTCAGGTCGCTTTGGTTGTGGTAGAGAAGGTTGAAGTGACCGTGATGGGAAGGATCGTCCAAACCGTGGAAGTCCATGTCGGTGAAGTTACCGACATAAATGTCCAGCCACCCGTCATTGTCCACGTCAGCGCAGGCGATACTGCTTGCGGAGCGAAGATTCAAGTCGTCGCCGAAGGCCTGTTCAGTAATGTCTGTGAACGTCCCGTCTCGGTTATTGTGGTACAGCCGGTCGACTATCGCCGCCCTGTCTCTCGCGCTGGCTTGGTCGTCTCCCTGTGAAGATCTGAAATCCAGCCCATCACCGAACTGCAATCCTCCGAGTAAGCGAGGCCCCGCGCACCCACGTATAAGTCCTGAAAGCCGTCGTTATCGATGTCGCAGGCAACAGCGCCGCTGCTGTTGCTGTCGACAGCCGCAACTCCTGCCTCTGTGGACACATTGTTAAACGTTCCATCCCCTTCATTGCGGTACATGAAGTTTGGACGCTCGACCTCAGACGTAAGGAAGAAGTCCAGATCGCCATCTCTGTCGAAGTCAAAGACGACAACCCCGGGGTGGTAATTCAGCAGACCAGCGCCTTCTGATAGTCCCCAAGGCGCTATGTTCGTAAATGGGACGATTCCGTTGACCGGAGCGTTCTCCATTTCTTCCGGGCCCGGCTGCGCCACGCGTTCCACGGGCCTCCCAGGTGATGTTGCGGCCTGCAATCGCTCAACGGGCGAGTCAGGCAGCACGCTGGGCAAAGGCCGCTGTATTCTCAGCCCACTTGAGGCGACTGTTGGTTCACTTTCCGCTGCTTCACCTCTTGTCAGAGGTTCTATCGCAAAGGACGGCTACCCCTCCGACTGCTCCGAGGACCCACGTCGCCGCAATCAAGGTGGCGACTGCCCTTTTCGGAAGAATCTTTGCCATTCCCCAAAATGTCACCGGACCGCCGGCTGCCGCAGCGAATAGTAACGTTGCAGCGGGACCTGTTCCCATGCCAACTAGCAGAAGCGCGGCCACCAGTGGAATCTCAAACAGCAACGGCACGTTGATTAGAATGCCCAAGGTCGCCGCGACAGCGATGCCCGTAAGGTTGTCCCCCAGAAATCTTGAGACGCTGTCAGGACTGACCCACTGGAGAACGAGAGCACTGCCAAATCCGGCAAGCACCATTACTGGTCCCAGTTTGATTAGATAGCCTGAGCTTGCCTTCACCCAGTCTCGCATTCCCTCCGAGAGGGCCTCACCCCAGCTCGACCGAGCACCAGCATCCGGCTGCTCGTTTACTTGAATCCCAAGTGACTCGACATGGCGCTCACCCACTACTAGTGCCACTAGTGGTCCGATTAACAGTGCTGCGACTAGACTGACCGCAATGCGCGTCCCGCCGATAATCGGAGCGAACACCATGGCGGCCATAATGATGGCTGGCAGATTCAGGGTTGAAGAGCTGTGAACAATTGCGAGCGTGGTCTCTATGCTGGCGCCCCTGCTCCTGAACGCGGCTGAGATGGGAACGATACAAGCGGAGCAGAGGTTCAACACCGGCCCGACTACAAGGCCCCTGAAAGACCCCTGCAGGCCCCTGATCTGCAAACCCAAACTCTGGCCGTTGGGGAGTAGGAACGCTTCTGTGACGCCGGCGACCAGAAACGCGAATGCCATGCCGAGAGTGACGAGTTTCAGGTAGGTGAACGCCGTATCCCACCAACGCAGGAGCAGCGGAGTATCTTTCTCAGCCTCGACGCAGAATCCCTGGAAGCACTGCTGATCGGTCGCCGTGGCTGCGACCAGATCGGCGCGCACCGTGTCGAGCTTAGGGATGCGATTGAACGCGAGGAAAAGGGCCAGGAGTGCGATAAGCAGGCAGGCACCTACCACGCGCTTCTTGCTGAGAGCAGATTGGAACATGATGCCCTCACTTCCTGTTCCGCGAGTTTACATGCCTGTCAACTCGCTTTCAATCAGCCGTCGAAAACGGACTTAGCCCGAATCCACAACGTCTTCAACGTTCCCACTCGGCTGTTTCGATCTCTATCTCAGGTGATCATCATGGCGTGCAGTGATTATCGAAGCTACTACTCTCAGTTCAAATATCGAGCCAGTAAGACTCACGGGTGTGGGCTTCACACGCCTCAATTGACAGGTCTGAGCCCCTATTGTACAGTCGGATGACAACGGCCCCTAACGGAATGTTCAGTAGTGAATTTACACTATCTTACTTAGCGGTCGATTGACGGGAGGTGTGAAAGTGAAGTCTGGTAGACGCGTTAGGTTGGACATCCGATGGTTGGCTGTAGCTCTCGCTACCGTGCTGGTGGTAACGCTCGCATGTGCCGCTGAGGTGAGGGAAGTTCCGGTTGAGAGGATCGTCACACAAGAGGTGGTCAAGACCGTAGAGGTGCCTGGCGCGACCGTCATCCAGGAAGTGGTCAAGGAAGTACCAGTTGACAGGATCGTCACACAAGAGGTGGTCAAGACTGTTGAGGTGCCTGGCGCGACCGTCATCAAAGAGGTGGTCAAGACTGTTGAGGTGCCTGGCGCGACCGTCATCAAAGAGGTGGTCAAGACTGTTGAGGTGCCTGGCCAGACCGTTATCCAAGAGGTGGTCAAGGAAGTGCCGCGAGAGATCGTCAGGGTGGAGCGCGTTGGCGGTGCCGAGGGCGAGATCATCGTCGTCATAGAAGGAATACCGGCAGTGAGCGGCTGGACAAGCAACTGCGGGAGCGGATGCTATTGGACCACCCTTATGAATGTTACCGAGACGCTTCTCCACGGTGGCAAGACGCCAACGGCCTACCAGCATACCGCGGCAAGGTGGTCGAATCTTGGGAGTACGCTCCCGACTTCAGCTACATTGACTGGACTGTGAAGCGTGGCAACCACTTCCACCAAGGGTTTGGCGAGGTAACTGCAGAGGACGTGCTCTATACCTATAACGAAGGTGACCCGCGCTTCGCCTCCGAAGAGACGAAAGCCTTGGCCGAGTCCGTAGGTGTCGGCACGGTGGCTCACAGAGGCCTTCCGGAGCCGTGGATGGGCAAGCTCGAGCTCTTGGACCAGTTCAAGTTCCGGATGCCGCTGTTGAACGGGCGACCTGAGGTCAACGGCCTGTTCCAGTTCACTGATGACTCGTACCCTGTCGGCATCTACAGCAAGCGGGCGTTCGAAGAGATGGGGTGGGAGTGGGTACGCGACAATATCGTCGGCTCTGGACCATACGAGTATGAAGAGATGGACTCGGACGTGAAGTGGTCCATGATCGCCAGGAACGATCCCGAGAACGAGGACGAGAAGATTCCATTCGTCTACAGGTGGGAGATTCTAAACATACCGGACGAGAATGTACGACTGGCAATGTACAAGGGCGGCCAGGCCCACAGGGCATGGTTCGACACTCCCGCAATTGGCATCGACCTGTTGAATGAAGGCCACAGCAAGACGGTTCCAAATGGCGGGAAGGCCTCGGTGCTCTTCACCTTCATGGGGAACTACTGGGAATCTGTAGAAGGACAGACCGGCGAGCCCCTGGAGAGAGAGGCGAGAGGCCAGATAGGAAATGGTGGGGACGAATACCCCTGGATATGCCCGCCGGGACCAAATCCGATGATGCCCGAGGTCAGCGACTGCAACAACGTCGCCAAGAAGTTCAGGCGTGCCATGTTCATGGGCATAGATAGAAGAAGCCTGCTCACGGCACTCTACGGCGGTCGAGGCAGTTTGCTGTTGTCGCCGAACGCGAACTTGGGCGACCCGTTCATTCTGAAGCATGGCGACCGCTGGGGTGACGCATACAACCCTGATGCGGCGAAGGCGCTGTTTGAAGAGTGGAAGTCTGAATACACGGCGATGGGCGGCAATTCGGACAAGGTCAAAGTGAGCGCTTGGATCGGCACGAGTGGCAGAAAGGAAGTAACCGAGGCTGTCCTCAGCCACTGGGAGTCTCTGTTCGGAATAAAGTGGGAGATGGACAACACTCCGCAGGCTTCTTGGGCTCCCGGAGCTTGGCGAGGCCGTGAGGGATGGCAGCTCGTTCGTGATGCTGCGCTCACCTATCGCGGAAACTCGATGCTGTGGGACGTCGAGCGGTGGCACACATCCCTCGGCCAGCCCGGATCACGCAATGAGGGTACGGAGTTACTAAAGGCCACCGAGACTATTCTCGACAAGGGTGAGGCTTGGAACGATCCGGCAAAGCAGGAGCAACTCACCTTGGATTGGATGGACTGGTTCTACGACCAGCATATTGCAACCGGTGTACTGGAGGGCCAAAACGTTACCGATCTGTACCGTTCGGACTACATCGAGACATGGACTACCCGTGTTCCCGGTGTTCCGTGGATCCTCTGGGACCCCGAGTACGTGACCTTGAGGAAGTAGGAATCTGAGTCGCTCTTGCGGGGCATCGACTAACAATCGACTTTGACTCGAAGAGCCACACTTTCATACGGACGGAGGGGGCCGTGGGTTCCCTCCTCCCGTCCGTTACCGCGTGATGATTGGCAGGGCTTCTCCCGTCCGACAAGGTTACTGATCACCTTGAAGAAGTGCGTCGCTGGTCTGACGTCATTGGGTGAAAGCTGGGAGGTACCGCAATCACTAGGTACATAATCCGCCGTGCCTACATGTCGCTATTTGCACTCGTCGGCGCGACCATAGTCATCTTCGCAGGGTCTCGGTACCTGGTGGACCCTGTCATGGCTTATCTGGCCCCGGTGGACAATATGGATGACGCGTCCTCCTTCACTCCCGAGCAATTGGAAGGCGCGAGAAAGAAGCTCAGGCTGGATAGACCGGTGCCGGTGCAGTACGTGCTCTGGGTGTGGGACGTTCTTCACGGAAACCTCGGCAATGATATCGTAGATACTCAACGCCCCATCGCGCAGAAGTTGCGGAAAAAGTTCCCACACACGCTCCAGATAGCCGTGCCCGCTTACATACTTGCCGCGCTGGTAGGCATTCCCATAGGGGTACTCTCGGCGGTGACGCGGGGATCCGCGTGGGACATGGGGGGACGTATGTTTGCCGCCATCGGATCGGCGGTCCCGGAATTCTGGATCGCCGTGGTAGCTATCCTCATATTTGGTCTTTACTTGGACGTGCTCCCTATGGCCGGAAAGGGTGAGGGGATTGCCTATCGAAACTATATTTTGCCGGTATCGATAATGGGTCTCACCTCCACCGCGGGCTACGTACGCATCGTGCGCTCCACCATGCTGGAGGTGCTTGACTCAGAGTTCGTCAAGCTGGCTCGCGCCAAAGGAGTCAGCGAGCGAACAATTATCTGGAAACATGCCCTCAGAAACGCGCTGCTTGCTCCCCTTACTGTGGCCGGCCTCATGCTTGTCGGGTTCATAACCGGCTCTGTAGCGGTCGAGGTAGTATTCGCATGGCCCGGAATTTCGGCTTGGGCGGTGCAGGCGGTGCTCCAAAACAACCTTCCTGTTGTGGTAGCTACGACCCTGGTCTTCACCTGCCTATACATTGGTGCTTCATTCATAGTCGACATCCTTTACGGGTTCCTGGATCCCCGTATCCGTTACTCCTAAGGCGAGCGATATGTCCTCGACGGCAGATGCACAACAGAGGCTGCTCCTGGCGACTCGGGGCCACGGATCATTGAAATCCTTCGCGCATGGCGACGCTGGCCCGTTTTTTCTGCCATCGTGCTTGGGCTATTGTTAATTGGCGCTATCGCCTATCCCGTCTTGATTCCCCACGACCCCAGGGTGTCCGACATCATGCTGCGTAACACACCGCCTATAGGCTTTGAGGGCGGTACGTGGTCACATCCGCTCGGAACCGACCCTCTTGGTAAGGACATGCTCGCGTTGCTTTTGGCCGGCGGGCGCGTTTCCTTGATGGTGGTGGCGATCTCGATCGTTACAGGAAAGTCGATTGGAACCGGAATTGCGCTCATATCAGGTTACTACGGCGGTATGTTGGACGAAATCCTGATGCGCTTGCTCGACGTGTGGTACGGAATCCCCTTCCTCATGGTGGCCATGATCGTGGTCGTTGTAATGGGCCCAGGCGTGAATACAATGATGGGCGTTCTTGCGATGTCCTCGTTTGCGGGAGTGGTGCGCGTGGTGCGCGCGGAAGTACTCAGTCTGAAGGAACGCGACTATGTTGCCTTGGCGAAGGTGTCCGGTGCTTCAACGCCGAGAATCATGCTCCGCCACATCCTGCCTGGAGTTTACAGCACGCTGCTGGTCGTGCTGACACTACAGACGGGTGGGTTGATCCTGGCCGAGGCGTTCCTCAGCTTCATTGGCGCGGGCATTCCACCTCCTACGCCTGCTTGGGGGTTGATGGTGGCCGACGGCAGATCGTACATGCAGACGGCCTGGTGGGTTGCCATCTTCCCTGGCGTATTCATACTGCTGACGGTGATGGCACTGAACTTCCTCGGAGACTGGTTACGGGACAAGTTCGATCCTCGACTCAGGCAGGTAGCGTAATAGGTTCACGCGCAAGCGCGTACGAAAAACCGTATTAAGCAGGACGGCACACTATGGATGTACTGATGATTGGTGGTACCCGGTTCATGGGTCGCATAGCGGTCCGCAAGTTGCTGGATCAGGGCGATCGAGTAACGGTTTTCTCCCGTGGAAACGTCAAACCCGACTGGTGGGACGAAGTCGACCACATTCAGGGGGATCGCTTCGAAAGAGACGACTTTGCCGCAAAGGTGAAGGGGAGAAGTTTTGACGCCGTAATCGATTCGCAGGCATTCGGCAGGGATGACGTTGAAGCCATCGTGACCGCAATGGACGGAAACGTAGGCCGGTACCTTTTCGTCAGCTCCGGCGCGGTCTATGGGACCCAGGACGACTGGGCAGGCAAGATCGACTGGTTCTCCAAGTCTCCCTTCAAGGAGACGGACGTCAGTTGGGCAACCATCGACTACGATGATCCCTCTGCCGAGGACCCCTACGCGGCAGGTAAGAGGAGAGCGGAGAAGTGGCTCCAGGAGGAGAGCAAGATTCCTTATACAATCGTCCGCATTCCGGCGATGCTTGGCGAGGATGACAACGAAGAGCGTTCATGGTGGTGGACGCAGCGCGCGATGGACGGCGGCCCTATCATAATGCCGGCGGAAAACCGAGGCATGTTCCGGTGTCTGTACGCAGCCGACGCGGCCGACGCCTACGTTAAGGCGATCAAGTCCCCAAAGGCCGCCAACCAGACCTACCACGTCGCCACGCACGAGATCATTGCCATAGAGCACTGGGCGGACCTGGTATGCCGCACCGTCGGGCACGAGTCTGCACTGACCTTCATTCCATGGGAGTTGATTCTGAGACACGATGGCCTGCGCCAGCATCGACGATGGTATTCCCGGCTGGCGAGGCCGTTCCCGTACCTTCCCGATCTGTCCAAGGCGAGAGAGGACTTCGGGTTCACTACCACACCACTGGAGGCGTGGGTACGCTCAACGGTCGAGTGGCACATGAACGAGTACCAGGGTGAGGACTCCGCTGGCTATGAATATAGGGATGCTGAGATAGCCCTTGCCGCTTCCGGGAAGACCTATGAGTTCATTCGGAGCACGGCCTGACCTGGGTTCAATTGACTTGGCACAGGCAGGTGCATGATCATTATAGTGGCCAGGGGTCCGGCGACCAGGGTTGCATCGTAGTTTGAGAACATACGGTCCGCCAACTCCAGAAACTCTTCTGAGCGTGTCTCAATTCTGCCCGTGCGCGCCATGTTGGAGAAGGATGCAGCTCCCATATAGCAGGTCGCTAGATCAGAAGCAGACATAACGATATCCGGCTCAGCCGTTGTGCGTCGCAGCTCGGCACCGTCGATATCTGCCTGTACCGAGTACTGCCCCTCATTCCAGGGACACGTGGCGTCAGCTACACCTATAACCAGAGAACCTTTGGCCTCGTAGTTCCTTGCAGCCAGCGCAGTCTCGACGTCTACAAGCCTGACCCACACCCCGTCACGCAGGGAACGACGTAGCCTTCTGGGGTCAGCCAGCATCCATGGCAACGGATCGTCGACCGGGCGGTCACGCGCCACAGTTTCAGTCCTCAGGTCGATGTCAAAACAGTATCGCCAGAGGTTCGCATACGCCGCAGGCGTTGCTGCCATCAGTTCCCGGACTATGAGAGAGCTCCCTCTCATCCGGTAAGTAACGTAACCGTCAACAGTCCCGCCTGCTTCGTAAACGACGTGAAAGAACCTGCTGGCTCCACCGCGGGTGAACTCCAAATCCCACATCCGAGCGTCCCACCGGTGCTCAGATAGAGGCACCATTCCGGGTCGGCCGTCGTTCGCACGGCTGAACACCTCCGGGAACAGTTCCCTCATCTCCTCCGACGATACGAAACTCAGGCGGCCGCTTCCAGGCAACTCCTGCTTGAAGGCTGTGTGGTGACGCTCGATCGACCAGTCCTCGCAGTATGCGCCGATCCCGTAGCCGTAGCGCCCATAGATCACGCTTTCAGATGCTTGCAGGTGGGCTAGCGGGATCCCCTCCTCGTACAGGTCCTCAAGCTGCCGCTTCATGAGAGCGGTCAGAATACCCCTTCGACGGTGAGTCGGAATAGTGCCAACATACGCTACCATGGCCGATTTCAGAGTTGTCCCCGGAACTGTCATGTCGAGGACTTCGTTGTGAGCCGAGCCGACCATCTGCGAGCCGTCATATGTGGCTAGAGTGCGGTCCATGTGTACGCCGAGACCGCCGTACTTCAACTCGCTGGCGGTGAGGTCGCGACCTTCGGCGCCAGTCACGACCAGGTACCACTCTTCCAGCTCTTCTTCGCCGATTGGCCGTATTTTCCACTGCATCGTCTGCTCGCTCGCCCAGCCAAACTCACATTGGCTACAGAAGTCCTATGATTCACTGGCTACACTATCACGCCGGGCCGACCTGTCAAACCGTGCAGCCTGCACTCGCCGCTGCCGTTGCAGGGAAGCTATCTATCTGTCGCACGATTGCGCCGGGCCGTTGTATGCTCAGCTTATAAGGTCCCTCCTTTGTTGATCTCTTCATGTGTGACGGTATGAATTCCTTGAACGCTAGACCATGCGTCAGTCATCGCGTTGACAGTGCTGATCGTTGTTCTGAGCGTGTCCGGCGGAGTTCATGCACAGGAGATCACGACAACTGAGCATTACTTCGTAGAAGCGAGCGTCGACGACGAAACGCCGTATTTGGGCCAGCATGTCACGCTACAACACTTACACCGTAAAGTTCTATGTAGCCTATCCAACAGCCGAGGCTCCGGGGTACAAGGCACCTGAATTCTCGGGCTTCATGGACAGGTATAATCCCAAGAGACTAGAATACTCCGAGAGTGCCCGTGGTCACAGTTACACTGTGTATCAAGTCTCGTACGATCCTTTATCCGACAGTGGCCGGAAGTCAATCAATCGGTCCTGCGACGATGATTGTTCCTGAAGAGTCGTGCATCGATTGGCCATCGTCTCGAAACTGTCCCGGTGCCTATCTGTCTCCAATGGAGCTGGGGACTGGGTGTGTGATCACCGGTTTGCTAATCCGCACCCACACATCCTGCCAGCTGGATCTGGCGGTTCTTCCCCTTCCGTCAGGTCCTCCCAAGTCGTTTTCCTTCGGGCGGCGCGTCGCGGAGCTTCCTCCGTGTTACGGTGCTCTCAGTCGATTTGCCACAACCCTAAGCTATGTGTGAGTCCGCGTCGTCTCCCATTGCTGCTCACTGCTCACCGGCAGGTGGTCCAGCAAGGATCGTTGTCCTCCCGACGATCGTACAATGGCCTACGGATCAACAACGACTGGAGAATACTGGCAGGTAGCCACAGCGCTCTTCCCCTTCCTCCCTCCAACAGCAACTGGAATCGAGACCAAGACGTTCAGTCGAGTCATGATTCCTCAGAGAGCGGGGAACTACACAATCCCTTCAATGCAATTCAGCTACTTCGATCCCCAGCAGGAACAGTACGTCACTAAGTCGACAGCGCACATCCCAGGTGGATAATCTCTAGTACGACTGAGGTTCCGCCGATGGTGGCACCTTTGAGCGTCGCGGTGCAGGAACAGGCGTACTGACGTCGTGATCCGCACGATAACGTGCAGACGTTTAAGACAAAGCGTTCCTCCTCGAATTGCAGCCTGAACGATCCTGTGACCTCCCTCACCTCTTGTTCATGGTGGGCTTGGACCACTAACTTCATCATTCCGTTTTGCATGTGCTCACGCTCGATGCTGGTTGCCCTTAAGCTATTAGGCATCCTGCGAAAGGGCCCCCAATTAAGCTATACACACTGATTGCTGAATATTACTCGCTCAGTCGCAGCGCGTGATGCTGGCGGGTTGATATGCTACTTGCCGCAATGAGGGACGAAGTGCCCACTGACTTCGACGAGCCAATCGCCGTGGCTGTCAAGAGGTCCTCTGGCTGAGTTCAGCGCAGTCGAACCAACCATCGCAGCGGGCTCGTTCCCACAAGTTCCACGGAGGTGGAGTGTGAGTGTTTTCCAACACCAGCATACACGATTAACAGCACACTCTCAACTTGCGAGCCTGGTCCGTTGGATCGAGCCCGATACCCTCCTGCGGACAGACGAAGACGTGATGCGGGAGATGATGCACACCAAGCTAGCTGCATCTCATGTGTGGGCGTCGTGTTACGGGAACTGGCCGAATCAGAGCGGCGATCGACTCTGCAATCAGGGATGCTCACCGCTCAGGGAGCTAACTTGGAATGTGACCTGACTGCGTGGATGATTGGGGGAGGCTAGATGGTGGTAAGCGCAGCATGGTCTAAGAACTCTCCACAGAGCACAGGGACCGGTACCTCTCATTCGTCGTCTCAGTCTCCCAAGGGACACCCACACCCACGCCCCACCGTGATGCGGGAAGAGTTCATCCGTCGTGTCGGTGTGTCAACACTCTACGGGTCGGCTTCACGTGCTGCGCCCGTCCGATGGTGTAATCCCCTCAACGATTCGACGCCATCCAGAGTCAGCATCAGTCCTCTCTTGTCGAACTTTCCGTGTCCACGCCATGATCGTTCCCCGAAGCCATCACACCAGGTCTCTGTGTGTCACTCACCTCACCAGGAAGCTTCTGATTCGCAGAGCGTGGTACGCATACATCTTTTCCGCTCGTGGGTCGCGGGCTTGGTCCACGACGCGCACCTGCGTGACGCACGTGCTGCAGGTGCTCCCGACGCGGAATCCTGGAAGCGTGCTAGCTCTTCACTGCATCTCCCGAGAGCACCGTCCCTCCCGTTGAGGTTGCTCTCAGCCAGGGGGTCGAAACTTCGTCGCCTGTCGTGATGGTCTCCAGTACCTTTGCACTTAGGACAACACTTCTGACATGCGTTGCAGAACTCAGTGATGCCGGAGTCCAACGGCTCGGCGACTCCATCGGACGGTCGGTGAAAATCTTGGAAATACTGCAGCGCGCGATCCCCTCACCACCTTGGCTATCGGTTGATCAAAAGGCCGTGTCTCCAAGCTGGCCGAGGCCCGCGTCGAGACAGCCAGTGGGATGCTCAAGGCTGTGTCATTCAGCCATGGGATCTAGGCGTGTAGCACCCAGCCCTCGTATGACCTCAGCCGTCATCCTTCGCGTCGGGGTCACATTCGAGCATATGCCAGTGTACTGAGTCCCTCAGTAACGAGAGTCGGCGCACCTATCTCCCGTGCCGTTCGACAAAACATCCTAATCCTGCCCCACTCTGTGGAGCATCACCACCCTACGTCTCATCTCTCATCTCCTTTGGGATGCCCGGCGTCCCTCTTCATCAAGGCGAATGGGCTGGTCGTACTGTTCTGTCACGGGCTCATCGGAGAACTTGATGGTCGGGGTGGTCCTCGTCTTCGTCGCTCGCGTCGAAGTATCGCGATACACACACATCAAGCCCCAGCGAAACGGTCACAGCTCTGGCGAAGCCAACCTGGATCCCGCTTCCGAACATACAATGGGCGGCCTTCTCGCACAGCTATTCCGCGCCTGTTCAGGAGTGTGACAGGTTCGGGTCCGACATCCGGGCGTGGAGGGCCCCTCCATTTCGAGACTGCGCATGAGCATTAGCTCCTCCTGCTCCGACTGGTTCTTTGAGAAATCCTAAGAGATCAGCAGGGACTCTGATGCGTAGTCGTAGGCTCCATATGCCGCAGGGGCTTGCGATAATCCGCGCGTCACGCTCTCTCTCTCCGTGAGCTGGTCGCTGCTTGACACCTTTAGTTTGTCCCGTTCAGCTCCCTTGGACCGCGCATCCCAGACTCATCTGCGAGCCCATATGATATCTCTCTGTTGACGAAGCGATACGCAGTCTCTGTCCTGGTTCTTCACCTTTTCGGCACGCACCGTGACGTGGGCCGTATGATTCTCGTTTCTGAATCCATGTTAGAGTGGACCTTTATGGGCCGCCGCGTCCCAATTTCATGGTATGAATCCTCCTTACAGGTAACTGCCACTCTTGCACATGTTGGGGTCTGACCGACTGTTTTTGCACATACTCCAGTAGCCATACAATCTATCTTCATAAACCAAGGTTTTTTCTGAAGGATGACTTCTATCTTCAACTAAATGAAGTTTGCCTTCAGGCCAACAGC